TCTCCTCATCTATTCATGTAGGAATTTAGGTAAATAAGTGTGCGTTTGACTAGAATTTTCGCATTACTAGCCCTTCGCTCATTTTCAACTTCTATTAAATTTTCATCTGCCGTACTCTAGCGGAACTATCAGCCTACCCTCTTCAGACCTTTCTCTAGTTAACAAATCCTCACACTAAAGCTTCATGTTAGTGAGCATTTCCAGCCAACTTTGAAAATTAATAAACTTTGAGATTACATGTTTAGAAAATTTAATGATCCTGGATAAAGAAAAATCTTCAAGACTCAGATAGTTTTATTTTAAAACATTTTGTCTGATTCTCGAACGTGCAAATAGTCAGAATAAATATCTAAGTTTTTAAAATCATAAAACATAACTGAGTTAGGAAGATCGTTAAAATGTAACTACTCTTAAATTCCATGAATGGATCCATGAACCATTAAGTTGTTTGCAAGTATCTAAGTGGTTTCTAATGATGATAATGTAATCCAAGATGGCGGCTCTCAGATTCTGAAAAATTGTTAGATACCATACAATATGGGTATTTTCGGAACGGGGACGACGTTTAGATGCCGAAAATCGATGTTCGGCGCCATTTTAGAATCCAGGATGGTGGCCATTGATCTCAGATAAACTGTCAAATACCATACAATATGGGTATTTCTGAAGAGGGGATGACGTGTAAATGCCGAAAATCGATGTCCGACGCCATGTTGTAATCCAAGATGGTGGCTCTCAGATTATGAAAAACTTCAAATACCCTACAGTACACACTTAGAAATTAGTAATTTTACGCGTGACAGAATCCATCTTCGACATAAAGGATCAGACGTAAGCAAATAAGTCATGTAAAATTAAGTGCTCCGAGACTAAAAAGTTCGTTACTCGACGGAAAGTACGTTTGGTTGAGTTGAATTTTGTGTCTGTTATGACTCAATTTTATGTCAAAATTGACGCTCGTATATGTCAGTCTCAGAGCACCAGAGCACATGATTTTTTCTAAGTGTGTAGGGTATTTTCGGAACGGGAGCGACGTGTAGATGCCGAAAATCGATGTCCAACGCCGTTTTAGAATCCAGGACGGCGGCCATTGATTTCAGATAAACTGTCAAATACCCTACAATATGGATATTTCTGGAACGGAGATGACGTGTAAATGGCGAAAATCGATGTCCGACGCCATTTTAGAATCCAAGATGGCGGCCATTTTATTCAGATATTCCATCAAATACCCTATAATATGGATATTTTCGGAACGGTATGGACGCGGTGTTCATTCCAGAAGGCGACAAGGTCAACATGGAGGTCTACATCGGGATTTTAAGTAAGTATGTTCTTCCGTAGATCAAAGAACAGTACGGTCCGAAGCCAAATGTTGTATTTCAACAAGATGGGGCTCCGTGCCACAGCTCTAACCGCACTCAGAAGTGGTTGCAGGAACATCTTCCGTTCAGAGCGAAAGATATGTGGCCGCCATCCAGTCCCGATCTTAATCCGCTGGATTACTCAATAAGGCGCGTCATGAAGGCCAAGGCCTGTTCTAAATGCCACCCGAGTACAGCAAGCCTCAGACAAACATTGACCCGTACCTGGAAAGATTTTTTTTTTTTTTTAATTCTTTATTTAAGAGATACCTGGAGAGAAATGGATCCAGACTACATTATTATAACCTGCCGTGCATTCCGGAAGCGTTTGGAGGCCGTAATTGCAGCAAATGGAAACTCGATTGATGATTAACATAGTTTGAGACTCTGAGAAACATCCCCCTTTGAATAAATAAAAAAACTCGAAAACGAAATTTTTGAGAATTTTCTTTAATTTTGACATTGCTCATGAAAACATTATCACGCATACGGTACATCCCGAAAATATATGTTTGACACCATTTTGTAATCCAAGATGGCGGCTCTCAGATTAAGAAAAACTATCAAATTTGGGTATTTTCGATACAAGTACTACGCGTACGTGTACATCCCAAAAATCGAGGTCTGACACCATTTTTGAATCCAAGATGGCGGCCATTGACTTCTGGAAAACTATCAAATACCCTGTTATATGGATATTTTCGGAACGGGGACTACATGTAGATGCCGAAAATCAATGTCCGACGCCATTTTTTAATCCAAGAGGCGGCCAGTGAATTCAGAAAAAACTGTCAAATACCCTATAATATGAATATTTTCGGAACTGGTTCGACGTGTACATCCCGAAAATTGATGTCTGACGCAATTTTAAAATCCAAGATGGCGGCCGTTGGTTTTTTAACAGCTGCCAAATTCTACAATATGGATATTTTCGGTACAGGACGCTTGTGGATGCCGAAAATCTTTACCGATACCATATTCGAAATCTAAGATGGCGGCTCTCAGATTCACAAAAACTGCCAAATTCCCTAAAATATGCGTATTTTCGGAACAAGTACTACAATTCATGCCTGAAGCCGTAAATTGTAATGCAAGATGACAGCCTTCAGAAAAACTGTCAAATACTCAATAATATGGATTTTTGAGACAACATGTAGATGCCGAATATCAATGTCCGACGCCATTTTGAAATCCAAGATGGCGGCTTCCGGTTTCAGAAAAAGTGGGAAATACTGCCAAGTATCCTTCAATATGTATATTTTCGGAATCGGGATGACTTCTAGAGACCGAAAATCGATGTCCAGCGCCATTTTTAAATCCAAGATGGTGGCTTTCGGTTTCAGAAAAAGTGGGAAATACTGCTAAATACCCTTCAATATGGATATATTCAAAGACGATGTGCCTTCAAAGGACCATAAATTGATGTCCAATGCCATTTTGAAATCCAAAATGGCAGCTTCTGATTTCAGAAAAAAGTACGAAATACTGTCAAATCCCTTCAATACAGGTATTTTCTGAATCAGGGTTTTGTCCAGAAAACAGATATCACTGTCCAACGCCATTTAGAAATCCAATATGGTGGCTTAAATATTAAATACCCTTCAATACTTATATTTTCGGAATCAAGGTGACGTCTAGAGACCGTAAATCGATGTCCGACGCCATCTTGAAATCCAAAATGATGGTTTTCAGTTTCAGAAAAAGAGATAAATACTGTCAAATACCCTTCAATATGAGTATTTTTGGAAATGGAATGACGTCTAGAGCATGATATCTAGAAATAGAAAATGAGTGTCATGAAAATCAAAATGGCAGCTATAGGATACAGGAAATGTTGGAAGTACTGTCACAAATTCACATCAAAGTGGGTATTTTGAGAATCGCGATGATAGTTACGGATTTGCAGTTACTGTCCGATGCTATATTGAATTCCAAGATGTCTGCTTCTGCTTAAAGATAAACTGGATAGTAATGTAAAATACCCCCATAATATGGGTATTTTCAGGCTCAAAATCGATGTCCGATGAATTTTGGAGTCTAAGATGGCAGTCCTGTTAAAAAAAAACTGTCAAATACCCTTCAATCACAGACAAACAGGCGTAACTCTTTTAAAAAGTTTTTCTTGAAAACATAGTATCTCAAAACATAGGACCTCAGTAGTGACATCTATCAGGCTTCTCGCGGAAAACAAGCTTGCTGGCTAACTCGCAAACAATATTGCATAAAAGTTCTATAGAATGTAAAGAAACGTCAAAGTGATCCGATGCCAGCGCTGCGGCGAGTAGTTCGCGGAACTGATAATATTCAAATCAACCGTTAAATGCGTGAACGAAGATACACAATGAAGAGTTACGTCTGTTTGTCTGTGCTTCAATAGACGGAAAATTGATGGCTGACGCCATTTCGGCATTCCAATTTTCGGCATCTGCACGTCGTCTTTGTTCCGAAAATATCCATATTATAAAACATTTTACAGTTTTTCCCACTTTTTCTGAAATTGGCAGCCGCCATCTTTGATTTCAAGATGTCGCTGGGCATCGATTTTCGGTCTCTAGACGTCATCCCGATTCCGAAAATATCCATATTGAAGGGTATTTGGCAGTATTTCCCACTTTCTCTAAAATCGTAAGCCACCATCTAGAAATACCGATTCCGGAAATATCAATATTGAAGGGAATTAACATTATTTCCGGCCTTTTTTGAAATCTGACCTCCTTATTAGAATGGATGGTTTCTTGTCGTGATGCTCCTTTTTAAATGACCTATAGTACTTTGTCTCAGGGAACAGTATGACTGACATACGACTAGATAGTCGCGACTGGATGGATTCTTGATTTTGTCGTGGTGATCTTGTCGGGCGACAAGAAATTGTTGTTTGACGAGAATTTTCCAGAATGACAATTTTTTAATGAATCTTGTCGTGCGTCAATGACAAACGCGACAATTCCCATATCTGATACAGATTATTATTATTTAAATTCAGAACACACATCAAAAACATATTAAAATTTTAAGTCCTACAACTCACTTACGGACACTGGTGGGTCGCAACCCTTGGATTGAGAAATAGTGCTTTACATTGTAGATTGTACATTTTACATGAAAACACCGAATTGAAGCCAAATTCATTTTGACAGCAGTTGCTTCTAGTCTTAGTTTTAGCTATAGTACTACCCTAAATAATCCGAATCCAACACGTTTAAAACCCCCAAACCCTCCTACGCGATGATGTACTGTTTTCATCTCATTAACACCGCAGCTGCCATACCGTCTCGCGAATTCAATTTTCACGTGCCAAGAACAAGTTTGCAACTCAGCCCTTGCAGAGCAGGACGGAAAACATTTCCTACGCTCGCGCCATATGCCTTAGCATCATCCCAAAACATCATGACAACGCGCCGGTCAAAGCAAAACATCATCATCGCCCGTTCCTCGCCGCACCGAAACAAAAACAAAAACATATAAAATTCAAGTATCATTGAGCGCGGCGGACGTGAAATGCGCCAACATACGGACGCGGAATTTTCTAAAATATTGAAGGTTAATGATTCACGCAGAGTGTTGACGCAAAGTTCACAACCGGCGCGCTCGAAATAGCACTGAAACTAATTGTTTGTCATCTCTTTTCTCGTACAGGTGTCGAAGATGTCTTCGTCCTCGTACATCAGTCAACAACTGGCAGCGGGCGGTCCCGGAAGTGCGAGCAGTTCCCGAGATGGAAACAACAACAACAACAACTTCATGAACGGAGATAATCTACTGAAATTGGCGCTGAAGAAGCCAAAATCTTGGAAGTGGGAACTCACGACTTCCAGTTCAACGCCCAACATAAGCTTCCCGAAGATTCAGCTGTTCGACAGCCGGACTGGCGAACTGATGGTTTCGGTGGACAAACCGGACTGTGTCGTGAAGAGCGAAGATGGACTACTGGATCGAAAGAATCGCGACCAGCGATATCGAAGATCGCGCAGTACTTGCATTCGGGAGAAGATCACTACCTCCAGTGAATTCTTGAGTGATGTGTTTGAGCAGCTGCAGAATAAGGGGATGGGTCACAAGCTGCAGACCAGTGTCACGCAGTATCGGGTGGAAGAAGTTGAAGAAGAAGAAGAGGAACGCGGTTATTCCTTACAGAAGAGCAGATCAGCAAGCGAGATCCGTAGGAGTGTTTCGCTAGAGCAGAAGAAGAAAATCCGGAAGTCTCCTTCCTGTCGATCGGGTTCGATTTTGGGTAGAATTAGTGAGTGTTACAAAAGTTCGACTGAGGAGGAACCTCCGCGCCAATCCACACCACCTCCACCAGCACCGACGATACCGGAGATCAGTGTCGTCGAGGAACCACCCGAACCAAAGTCAACTGCCGAGGAGAAGAAAAACAAGATCTACAAATTGGTTCGCAGCAATGTCGGCACGCTCATAGTTCGGGAGGAGAGTTTCCATACACAGCGTAGTCTACGAAGGCGAAGGCAACTGGAAGCCGAACAATCGATTGCAGAAAACGAGCCTCAGGTGGACAAACGGATCACCATCACCGATATTCCAGATTCTAGCTATAACGATACGATCAAGGAGATCGACAACCTCATATCGAAGGTGATGCTATCGCACACCCTTCAGGACGTCCAGGAACCGCGGGCAGCTCAGAGCCGGGGAAGATCCAGTGCCCAAAATGGAAAGTCTTCGCCGATGCGGAGACGACGTTCGCGGAGAAGTGCCAGCGCCGGAAGTAATGCGAGCAGCAGTGGCGGCGGTAGTAGACGCGGTCGGAATTCACCCCTGGTGACCGTTCCACCAGGATCTGCGTCTTCGTCGTCGGATGAAGATCTGATTGCCCTGGCGGAAAGCCGATTCGGGTCGCTGAAACGAAGGGGACGGGCAAAGTATAAGCGCAACAGTACGGGTACAGTGAACGAGACCACGGTGGGCAACGGAGGCGGGCTGGTGAATGGCAGGAAGCAGCAAGAATCGAACGGTAGGTGGAGAAGTTTATAGAATCTTGATAGTTTGTTAAGGGGCGATTCAAATATGGCATCCATAAGGTTTATGATTTTTTTTTACCACGCTCGTTCCCCACCTGTGTCACAAAATCATGGACGTCATATTTGAATCACCCCCAAGGTAGCTGTTTAAATTTTGCGGTATGATCTGTTTAATTAACTAATACAAGCTGGGTTAGAATGTTGTTGATTTCCAGGCCAAATAGTAACAACAACGAAAAAATCAGACTAGACCTTCTCCACACTATGCATAATTGTTCGTTATGGTCAATCATTTAACTTTTAGATAACATTCAGTCATTTTAAAATCTTGCAACAAATTTCCAAATGGCGTATTGGATATTTGTCGACAAATAATAACTCAAAAACGTAGCCGTGGTCTGTCAATAAGGCCACTACTGGTCCAGTTTAGTAAAATCATGATGTTTGGATTGTCGCAGGACAGGTTTGGTTCTCGTAAAGAATTGGTCACTTCTCTAGGGGCTCCGGAACATGAACGGGAGGGCTGGTATGACCATGGATTGCCAATAAGGCCATTACCGACCAAGTTTTGTAAAATCATGAAGTTTGATATGTCGCACGATGGATTTTGGTTCTTGTTGAGAATTAGCCACTTCCTCTGGGTCACCGGAACATGCTCGGGAGGGCTAGTGTAACCGTGAACTGTCAATAAGGCCACTATCGGTCATGTTTTGTAAATAAAACTTCAATGTGTCGCACGACGGGTTTGTTTCTCGTTGAGAATTGGCCAGTTCCCCGAGAGCACCGGATATTTTCCGGGATGTCCAATGCGATCATGGTTCATCGGTATAGCCGTAAATCAACTCTGAGGACTAGATCCTAAGATATATACGGGTTGTGCCGTCATAGATGAGATTTCCTTAATACGGATTCTACCTTTGAAAGTGCCTTCCATTCATCGACAGGTTTTTGTCGTCTGAACGTGACGAACTATGACTAACTCTGCCTCCTTAAGCTCACTAGTGCATAAAGGGTTCGTTGAAAATCTGTGTTGCGGATCCTTCTACAGCATTTTCATTAGCCGCAGCCAGAATGCAGTTCACCGAAAGAGATCCTAGTGCGATCCAAACTTCCCCAAAAGTCATTCGTAGAAATCCGCGTAGTTCAAGCGACAGTTGTTCGCTGTCTTTCCTGGATTATGCCATTTCTCCGGAGTTTCCTTCAACCGGAGAAATTCCTCTGGAGATCAAATCTGCCGGTATCTCCTTACCAGAAACGTGTTGCCACTGTGATGGCTCGTGTACAAGAATCTTGTTAAGGAGGGGCAATTTTTTTTTCTATTGTGCATTGAATCTGGGGATGGGGAGTACTCCAAAGTACGTGGTAGATGGTGCTGTCCTCCTCCCACTTTTTCCCTACTGTTCAATTTAGCTAATTTTATTTATTTTTTGCTCAGGTGGTGGTTCATCTTCTTTACATTACATTGTGCAACGACGTAATCATGTCATTTTGAATACGGTAACTTGTATACTGGCAATTTTTCGCACCTTCCGCCAAGTGTTTTCCAGCACAGGATCGTAGTTAGCCACCAACTGGGTGGCACACTTACCGCTTCTTTCGAATGTCCACGAAGTGGTCGGCTACCTTTGCAAAGTATGCGCAGAATATCGATGAAATGTTCCATTATATAGTGATTTTGTAGGCGCTTTGCCTTACTAGCACTGCAGCAATCATAGCTGTTTTTTGGTGGTCCAGTTCTTCGTCGATAGCCTTCCTGGTTTTGAAATTCTTCCACACTTCCATACTACCAACATGGGTATCACTGCGATTGTGTTTGCCCAGCAACTCGGTCGATTTCTTCCAAATTTCTGAACCCTGTTGGAATCGTCGTAATAATGTTTTGCGTAATGCTCTTCTTTACAGGTTAAAAATACAAATCAAAGAAAATATATTCTTCAAGGTACTGGTATCATCTTTTATTCAGTTACCTTTCTGAAGTTTTGTGCAGTAGGTTTTTGTATATTTTGAAGGCATCGTTACAATTTTTGACTATTTCAAGTAAGTATTTTTGTAAGCCCTTATATGTTGTTATAGTCACTTTACTGTTACCGTTGCGAGTACGATGAACTTGGTCATTTTCAACGAAAATTGTAGTTATATTTTTTTTTCAAATTTTGATCTAAATGCCAAGGCTAATAGGATCATTAAAAGGTTTAAAAAAATATAACGATTGGACCAAAGGCGCACAAAACTATTTTGATAAACGAGTACAGGATTGTTAACGGAATGACGACTTGTGCGAAGGATTGAGCATGTAAACCACGATAACAAATGACTTGAAATTTTCAGAGAAGATTCTTAGACAAATTCTTAGTAAGACAACAATCGACCAAGGTTCAATGGCAAACTTATACCATAGAGGTAACTCTAAGACCAGAAGGTCCTGAAAAAACGAGCTCAACTTTTTGGCTCAGCTCTGGTACTATCTTCGGTCCCAAGCTAATCGATGCACCCCTCGAAACATAGGAAAATCCACGAACCCATCATTTTATCTGTCAAACTTTCATAGCAAATCAAAAAAACATAGTGTAGTACTAGAATTTCGACTAGAATGGAGTACGTTAATCAATTTGCTTGGGACCAATAGGCTAGTCAAGTAGTGAGCCAATTTAAAATCGTTAGTTTCATATTGATTGTTGCTTATACCTTATTTTCAATAAGGGAATCCAAAAGCTGTCTTTAAACTTTGTACAGTTGCGAAAAAATCCATCCTCAGAATTCCTTAGGTTCTTTTAAAAAAATTTAGAACTCTATGACCTCTTTTGAAATTCTTCTCAGAAGTCCTCTGGAATTATTTTGAGAATACTTCTTGACTTTTACTCAGAACACCTTGGATCTTAAATTCCTTTAGAGTTTCAGAAATTATCCTCGGAATTCGCTTGAAATTTTGCTTAAAATCCCTTTGGAAGTTCTCTCAAAATTTGATTTTCTCGGTATTCTTATCGAAATTATCTTGGAACTATCTGCAGGATGCACTAGAAATTATCCGCAGAATTTTATTTGAAATCTTTCCAGAAATATTTTGGAACTGTCCTAAGAATTCAATATCCTTGTGGTTCTTCTCGGAAGTCAAGTTTAAGTTGTCCGTCCATTCACCAAAACATTATAGTTTTTCTACCAGAAATGTTCAATAAAGCTTGCCCCTTCATTCACCAGAACTGTGTAATTTTTACATCAGGAATTTTGAATTCAGCTAGCCCATTCAATACAAATTTGCCCCCAGAAAATTTAACACCAGAAAATTGTACACCAGAAAATTTTACACCAGGAAATTTCAATTGACCAGAACGATGCAAATAATTCACCGTTAATGTTCAAAAAAAATTGTTCTCCAATCTTCTGATTGGTGCAGATTTCCTTTCTCCATTTTTCACCAGACATTTTCAATATAGCTTGCTTCTCCTATCATTTGAATGTTGCAGGTTTTCCACCAAATAAAACTTGCCCCTATTTTCAGATTTTCAGCATAAATTTTCAGTAAAGCAGCTTCCCTTCAATCATAATAATGAAGACAATTTTACACCAGAAATTATAATTAAAGTTTGTTCCTCCATTGAGCAAAAGGATGCAAATTTGAGACCAAACATTTTCAGAAAAGCTTGCCCATCCGTTCACCAGAACGGTGCAGATTTTCCTCCAGAAATTTTCAATATAGCTTAATTTAAATAAAGCTTGTACCTTCATTTACCAGACCAGTGCAAGTTTTCCACCAGAAATTTTCTGTTAATTTCATTTATCAGAGCGATAAAAATTTTGCACCAGAAATTTTCAATAAAGCATTCTCCTCCATTCACCAGAATGGTGCACCAACAATTGTCAGTGAAGTTTGATTTACCATGCACTTTTGTGGTGCAAATTTTCCACCATAAATTTTCAATGAAGTTTTCATTCATCAGAACGATGCAAATTACATTACAGTGCACAAGAAAAATGAATAAACCTTGCTTCTACATTCACCACAGTATTGCGAACGTTCCACAAGAAATATTCAGTTAAATGCGCGACTCCAAATGTTTAGCGTGATTCAATTTTTCCACCAGGGTTATTCATTTTGATTAGCCCTCCATGATTGATGATATTTTTACTCCAGATATTCTATAAAATGCTTTCTCTTCGATTTACCACCATGAAGGTGAATTTTTTCAACCTTAAATTAACGCTCTTCTTTATCCCTCCATGAACCCATTGAAAAAAAAAATACAACAGAATTTTTTTGTATGCACCACTGTGGTGCAATTTTTGACCAAAACATTTTATTGAAGTTTGTCCCTTCATGCACCTTTTTGGTGCAATTTTCAGACACCATCTCAAAGAAATTGACGCAATAAAAGGTTTACAGTGCCCTCATAGTATGAAATGAAGTTATTTTACCTTCAAATAAAGTTATCAAGAAAACAAATTATTTTGTATCGTAATTTGGAAATGTGGAAATAAACATCTTATTTATAAAAGGAGGGGCAATTGCCCCACCTTGCCCCACACTGTGCACGCCAGTGTCGGTGATAGTCTGGATTTATGCTACCCGGTTACCGATGTATGTACTCCAGATGTTTGGAGGTGCCTGTTCCCAACGCAGAACACAAATTGAATCGACCCAGAAGATCGCTCGATCGGGGATTCCGATCGAGTCTCGAACCCTTTCGTATAACTCCACTAACAGTATCGCACCACACAATTCCAACTTGGGTATAGACTGTGTCTTCAAGGGTGCCGCCATGGATTTTGAGGACAACAACTGGACCTTATTCCTCCTTATTGTGCGTACAAACACGCGTCAAATGCCTTGCTCGAAGCATCCCCGAAAAACAGTGAACCTCGATCTCGACCTATGGAATGACCACACGACCATTGATTCGAACGTCTATCAGTAGAGGAATTTGGTCGTATTATTTTCTTCACATCTCACCCACCGTTGAAGGCAATGGCTAGTCCCAATCCATGCCCCGATCTTGCT